CCGGGGGGGGGGGGGGTATATGGAATTCCGCTGTTAAAATGAAATATAAAAAAACAATGGGAGCGGGCGGGCGGGAGTTCTCCCTCTAGAAGTGAGACCAACTCAAAACAACACAACACACACAGACCCTGGTGCCTTCGAAATCGCATATATAATGAAGGACCTAATTTCATTTCATTTGTACAGCGCACGCTTTACCAGTTGAACTACACACCGCCACACACCGACGGAGCACTGATCTTTTCACCTTCGAATCACTCATTCAACTTACGGAGACACATGTGGCATCCACCAGTTAGCAACTAAGCCAACTGTCATAACAGGTTTTCCATAAAAGCCACCGGAATCCATCGAATGAAGGAGGAGGCAAGGAGGCGGTTAGCAGTTATATATGTGTTACCTGGTGGATGCCATATTCCTCTGTAAGTGGGATGGATGAATCGAATGTCAGTGTGGCCCCATAGCACAGCTTGTAAAGCATGCGCTGAATAAACAAGAGTAACGTCGATGCGTGTGTTCGAATGCCACCGAGGCTACGCTGAACTTTTCACAATTTCAACAGAAAAAATTCTGTGCCAAAGAATATCATTTTTTTTTTAAATCGTTTCAACGCGATTTACATTGCCCCCAGATTCACCGCATATTCACGTGTTTACATTTTACTACCCTGACCAAATTCAAACGATAAGAGAAGCGAATGAGACAAGTCGGTCTAAGGTGGTTCATCTGACAAGACTACGACCAATTGAGATTGTCTGTGCTTGTGATCGATTGTTTTGTGCCAGTCACTGATCGTTCGGACTAACCTAGCCGGTATTTACTGTTTACCAAATATGGCCATATTCTCCCAAATGGATGATGATTCGAGTCTGCCGGAAATCCGGATTTTGGCAGTTAGCAACCTGATCATCCAAATGATCTCCGTGTTTGGTCCATATGACTGTCTGTGATGCTCTTGCAGTGTGCTCACACAAGCTCGGAAACGAATGCAAAATTTATAGGCTTAGATTGTTTAAGCAAGTAAATTTATATCACAATGAATTATAAGAGCACAACTTTTGGTGGTGGACTATAAACATAAAGAATAAAACAGAGCGATTATCAATCGCCCGTTGTAGTTGCACAAATAGAAGAATACTGAACATAGTCGAATTGTGAACAAATTGCACAGTGTAAGATAATACAATTTTAAATATTGATCATGTGTGGATTTCAAAAGAAAAGACCATGTTGCATATTACATTAAAACAGACAAAAGATAAAAGAGGGGGGGGGTAAAAGGACCATGTTACCAGGGTTATTTTATTTAATATAATTTTAATGTATTTTGCTTTACTTTGTTGCCATGCTAAAGCCTTACATTAATAACATTGTATTTTCTGCAATATGCACCATGCTGAGATGCAGCGAAATCGTCCTGGGCTTAAATCGTGTAGTGTATTGCAATTTCGGGAAAGGCTTGCTTCAATGTGTCACCGTTTTGTGCTGTGGATATTAAAAAAAGATTTTGTTCTTCTGTCTGTTCATTGCTTAGCTTCACAACGAGACTGCACCTTGGCGTGGTATATGATGGCTTATGCACCTCTCTGACCTAACGAGCTACACAGGATGGCTTTTGTCACACCAGGAGATCTAATCATGCCCGGAAGGAAGCAAGATAGAGGTCGGACGAAGTTCAGTCTCCTGGTTCACCAGGTTGGGAGTTCGACTAGAATTTGCGTTTCAGTTGGTAAAAAATGGTGGAGCAGTAATTGATTCAACTAAATGTGCCACCACTTCGCTTAACCCGCTGCCTTGCGGCTAAGTTCTTGTCAGAATTAAAGGCTTTGGTTGCGAACGCTAATCGTTCTCCTGCTTAGTGGCGGTACCCGTCCACCAAACCCCAATGCGAGTTTGGCAGCGATCAGTTAAGTTCGCTTCCCTGTACGATGATGATGATGATTTGCGGTCTGAGGTTTACGACAGTCAAACCACCGGTTTCATTCTCACTTTGTAATCTCTCAGACGTCAGTGAGGAGGGACCGAGCGAGGCCGGTGCTAGGTTAATTTCGTCGAGCTCGTATGCAAAGACCGCCGACGCAGATGAGCCAAGTCCCCTCGCAAACGTTAAACAAAATGCTCGGAACCGGGTTTGGGGGAGAGGGGGATTGTGCTTCCGGTCCCTTGAAAAAGGTCTTACAAATACCCCCAAAATGAAAAAAAATCAAACAGGCCACATCACTGTGAAAAGGTTGGTTCGTCTTCAATGCTGGCGATTGTCGTTATTCTAATCCGTAGATGAACAAAATTGTCGACCACATCAATGACAACCAGCACTAGTGATTGTATAAACACATTCCGGAGAGTCTGGAAGAAGTATTTTTCACTTGATCGCGGAGTAAAGCGCACACTATACAGAACTGGGGGGGGGGGGGGGGGGGGGGGNGGGGTGGAGGGGTGCTCAGTCTGGTTTGCATTGTTACTACCTACTTCAATCAACAAATCTACTGCCCGACAGGAACTTTATTCTACCGGAAGCTAGATCGAAGTAGTGTTCCACAGAACATTGTCCATGACAAAAGACGAATAAACACGTCATTTGGAACTCAACAAAAGAAAAAGGAATGACGGCAACAGATCACCACTATGTTTCGCCTTACCTAACTAATACCGAATAGGAGTGGTGGTTGAGGATAGACGCATTCTTCCGTGAGTACTCCATTGATCAATAGGCGATTTCACAGGCCAAAGCCCTTACCGCATCACAGTGTGTGGTGGAACTTACGTAATGAACGGTGGAGGGAATAACGACAACGACAACAACAACAACAACAACAGAAGCTATGCAACCGCGGTCAAAGGCACAGTGCAAAGTGATAACATAAGAGACAATGTTCAAGGAAGCCGGAAACACGACAGACACAGTCCAGCATCCAATCTCCAACTGTGGTTGTGGAGACCATGCTAGAATAATCCAATCACATTGAGTCATGATGGATAAAGAGATGAGCCAATGGTCAAGGTCTGAGTGAGACGAGCCAACACCATGGATCATGCATCACATTATCCTGCAGTGAGGTGTAGAATTAGCTGTATAGCTGCATAACCGAGTGCGTGCGTGAGTTGCTTTGAAGATGGTCCTCTCATGTCAACAAAGGGCGTGCTAATTGATTCTTAAAATGTGTTTGTCGATCCTTAAACAGTTGCCATAGCATAAAAATTTGATACATGCATTCGTGACCCATGTGAAATCCAACCGACAACTCTCCTGTTGGACGAATTTCAGTAGAGTGAGATGGAAACAAAAAAATTAAATCCTACAGGAATTGGGGCTTCTGTACTCAGTTAGAGCTGGAATCATACTAACACAACCCACGAGTAAGTGAGAAGTTGCAAGGAAAAACACAGCAAGAACAACAACAACAACAACAACTGCATACTTACTTTCGGGAATGTGAAAGTGCTTGGTTTTGGTTGGTTTGTTCAACGAGGTAAACGAAACGTTCCGTTTGTATCGGTCCGATTGTGCTGGCGGATCACCCAGATGCATGTATGACTGACTCAAATGTCGACCGTAGTCTGAGTTTGGGACACGAGAATGCAAGCTCTGCATCGAACACGTGGGGGGGTGGAGTATAAACGAATGTGTCAAAGGAAGGGAAACGAGAAACGCGGGATTTAAAACAGTTGTTGCAAGAGTACGACTAATGTGATCTGTTTTGGTAGTTTCGTGAAATACGAATTATTTATATACATCCGTGATCACGTATGAATGAATATACGTTAGGTGACAATTGGCATGTCAGTGTGAGCCGAAATAAAGTGAAGTGTGTACATAATAAATAGCATCACAACAGATCTGTAACGGCTGTTTAACCGAAGCGGGAATATACAAACCTCAAACCTCGTGTCCAGTCGGACTAGCTTGCGTCGCTATGCGCACAAACGAATGCATTTACCGCACTTCCACCGAAAACGTGGGCCGCGCGGGGG